TACGAAGACTAAATACCAGTTGTATAAGCTTGACGAAGTTTCCACGCCAGTCTTCTGCTGTATTCAGAAAATTTACATCAATAACAGTGGAATATTTATGGCGTCATTCAACACAACAGGACCGTGCAATAAACGGCCTTTGTACGGCACGAACATAACTCAGCAACCAAAGCGGCGCTGCGTTGTATGGCGTGATGAATGAATTAGGTTTCATGAATATCCATCAGTCAGCTGGCTCAACATCTATTAAGAAAATACGCACGCACACACATGGGCAATACAGCTCAGTTAACCCTTTAAAGGCTAGTGGTAACTATATGTACCAGTGCCTGTAACAGTAAGTTATACTGAATTTTCTTTTTTTTGGATTCATGTGTTTCGTTTGATTCTCAGTAAAAAGAGATAATGCTGGCGCTACAATCCAGAACACAGCCATCTTCGGACTCACCGCCTTGAGAACCTCAAATCCTCCTACATTTTTTGGTTACTCACGGGTGGACGCTAAAATAAGTTCAATCAGACAACCTATTAACCTTTGCTTCGTAAAATTCTGGCATAAACTGGCGACTGAGGTAGTAATTTAGTATTCTTTACAGCTTCATCAATTAAATTCGCGTAATCGATAGAGGAAATTAGAAATACAGGCTCCTTCACGAGTAATTACTCTCCATTCCACCGTGCTTCCAGCAGAGAAGCAATGCTAATTTACAGACCAAGTACAGACACAGAGGGGGGGAGGGTACAAATCCAATCGTGACGAAATGTCGTAAGGGATGAGATGCGACGAGTCGTTTGTTTCTTCCGACTGTTTTGAGTAGAATGAGAAAGAAATTTCTGGAGAATCTCACTACAAAACAAAACAAAAAAGATCGTCACATTTATCAAGAAACTTCGGTCCCACGCTTCAAAAAGAGAAAAAATGCGACACAAATATAATTAATGACGAGGATTACTCTGAACAGCGAGAAACTTCCGAGACTCGACAGAAATCTAGAGAAAACCGAAAGACAACACAGATTTTGGGAATGAATCTACACAAATAGAGTGTTGAATTTAATGACAGAATCAGGAAATTAAATAATTACATAATTAACGTCCTGATAACATAACTTAATTACCATTTTTCCAGTCTCATTTCAAAGTTCCAAATGACTGCTTTCCCCATCAAGCCTTTGTAAAAGCTTACTGTTTCCCTCATCAGTCCAATGTCAAAGCAGTCCATCTGACTACCTCACAATACTCGGTGAACTAACTTAAATCTTTCGCTCTTGCCAAAGACTTCCACTGCCCACTCACTTCAACTCTACTACTAGGCCCACTCAATATTTGTTTTGGCATTTTATTTTGGAAAAAATAAACGTAGAACAATCCAATTCCATATCCGAAATGTAAGTTGCGTTTAACGTCTCTGAAAGACAGACATACGTAAGCGGAAATAACAATTTTGCTGGATTTTTAAGTTATGCAGAGCGCTCGGCAGGCAACCAAGCGTACGCGAGTGCCACGCACGTGTAGCGACCAGAGTCTCAGCAGGCGCAAGAGATCATTCTGGCTTTCTCCATTTCGCCCACACACCATCTTACGCGCATTGTCTCATACAGGAAGTCAGGACAGTAAAAGAACACTGTAAGAGCCGGGTATCGATCCCAGCGCCTCTCGGCTGCCAAACGCACATCGCAGCTGATTCTGGATAAAACGAGCAGCACAGTCACCGAAGGGTCGCTCCAAGCAGCCAGCTTGAAATAGCCGGCTGCAGCTGTCTGGCACGAACGCGATCGCTGGTTCTTCCTCCTGCTCAGGGCGGCCGTCACCAGCTCCGACATTTCACAACTAGGCGTCCCTTTCTTCGCAGGCGCTTCATAAACAGACGCGGTGTTTCGCATCACATGGATGAAAGGACTGTATTGTCCGACTTCAAACTCGCGGTCCGCGGGCTGCTCGACTTAGTTCTCTTACCACACACGACGTGCCAACGCAAATGTCCCACTTACGAAAAGGTCCAAGTTTCAAATGCGTGTAAAATACCTCCTTGTGTACCTCCGTTTTATACTTCATTTAAATTAAGTAGAAACGTGGTTCAAAGTAGCGCACATGTGCGTGCGGTTGTAGGAAAAATAGAGAACGGAGAATACATCTTAACCTCAGCTTGGAATCAGCAAGAAGCAGGCGGTTACTACCTTCCCCGACCATGTCATGGTCATCGAAAATTCACGTCTTCTTCCACCGGTATCCACTGGACACAGACTTTCTCGCGGTTTGTTTTAGTGTGCGTGGTAAGCGGTGGTCATGGCCGATTATATTCGTCTGGGGGGACTGAGGGAAACCACGTAGTGCTTCACAGACGACAGCCGGGGTTTCGATCGAGTTCCTCCAGAACTCAAGTCCCGAGCTAACCTTCGAGGATGGTCTTAAGGGACGGAAACATTCTCGCCGAAGTTTCGTTTCAGCTGATCTTAATTAAGGTACAAAAATTCCACGCGCATCACTGGACATCACCAAGTCCTTGTGTGCGTTTTTACCCAGTGTTCGCCGAATCAGCTGACTGATTATGGCAAATCTTCGTGTGCAAGAATTGTCACACGTTAGTACTACCGAATTCACTGCCATCTGCAGACGCGTGAATTAGAACAATTTTGTGCAGGATTTAATTCTGATCACAGAACAAGATTCTCATTTAGGCCTAACTATGCAGGACGCAGCAGGAAACTTGCAAATACCAGCAAAGGGATTAGGAAAGATTTGGAAGGAACTGGTCGTGGCTTAATTCGTGATACGTCGAAGGACAGAGAAATCACGTGGGAGAGGCGCTATCCGGGTCGACATTTGAACCCCGGACGAATATCAAGCAGAAATTCTAACTACTCGACTGTCACGTGCGAAGCATAAAATACACGTGACTGAAAAACTTCAAAGCGTCTAAGTTTACACGCATCAACACACAGGAGAGATTATCAGATTCCAATCTGGATTATGAAGCCTGAACAGGTTACACATTCATCAGGGGAACAGCAGAAGCCATATTTGTTCTGCGAGTGACAGCACTCGAAAAGGTGACTCATTTTAAGTACAAGGAGACATCGAAAACGCTGACAGTAATGCAGTTAATAATGTTAAAACAGATTACGCCATTCGACGCCGTGTCGGTTAGCTACACCCCTTTCTGGCTAGCGCTGCGGTAATGTTACCATTTATTAAGAATGATAACGACATATATAAATAAATAATTGAATGTCGAAGTTACTACAAAACAAACCATTTAAATTCCACGATCTGTACTTTTTAAAAATCTTTCAATTTTCCAGCCGAAAACTGAATCCATAAGCGTCTCAGTATCTGACCTCTATTCAACGTAAGATGACTGCCTTCTGGGTTGTAGCACCGTGTAGTCTGGCAGAAGTTTACCGACGTTTCCGAGGTCCCTACGATGACCCTGATGATGGATGCAGCAAGGACCTCTGAAACGTCGGTAAACTTCTACCAGACTACACGGCGCTACAACCCAGAAGGCAGCCAACTTCTTGACAACCCCGAATCCGACGTTGGGCCTGCACCCGCCTAAGGCCTGTGGCGTCAGACTCCGTGTCGGGGCCAAAGCAAACACTTCAGATCCGGCGATTAATGTCGCACTTGCAGCAACAAGACATTTGGCAAGGCGAAGTAGGTACCAGGAACTGGGTCGGTTGGCAGTGGTTGGCGACTGTGCGCCCAGGAACCTAAATGTTACGCCAACAACACGGAATGTGTGTTACAAAACAAGAGCTCTGCGTTACAAAGGTGTTTATGTGTGTTCACTAAGCAGAGAGAAGAAGCGACGAAGTGTTTACACAGCAGGAACACGACGTGATATTCAGCAAACACTGCTAATGTACAACGGGACTGCACGCATTTCATCTCGAGGTTGCTCAAAACACGACAGAGACACAAAAAATGGGTTATTTGGGGCCGAAGCAACACGTCGTAGAGTGACGATGTCAGTAAATGTTATAAACGTCTTTCAAGTAAAATGCGTGAATGATGGACGTTTAATACAGACCGGAGAACGACAAATTAAAGTCGTGTTTCTGTGTGTCCATTCAGCGTCTGATTCAGCCATCTCGTCTTGTAAACATTGGCGAATCACGCCAGAACAACATTGCCAACCTCACAGCTGACTACAGATCATGGACTGAACGCGTAAATTAACCTTCGTTTCCAGTAATTTTACCTGAAAAATTACGAAAATAAATTTACGGTATTTCTATTTTCAGATTTGTATCCATAATTAATGTTCACTTATTTCAGATACAAAATCCAGTTTTTGAGAAAGGTAATATACAGTTGATTCAGGTCTCAACAGAGATTTTCCTTTTGGGCTCGTTAGAGCTTTGAACGCGAAGCTCATCTAAATAATATTAATAAAAGTCAGTTACTGCGTCTCCATCACAAAGCTCAGTTGTTTAACGCTGCTTAATGAAAGAAATCGCTGTGTATCCTGAGAGTCATAGAAAATTCATAAATAACTCTGTGGTCAAAATGCGATTTTAAATGTTAACTCAAGTGGTACATATTTTTTCCACTGATTTATAGGGGATTAAATAGCCTACACACGTAACTGACTCTGTTTAAAACATAATACATAGAACCAGACAATGAGAAACAGAGTTTGCTAGTTTCTATTTTTCAGCTTACAATAAGTCACATTTCATATACAGATGATACACTTGAATGAAATTTCTTATGCATTATAGTACGGGCTATTATGTATCTCTAGGAATGTCTACTGCACGTCGCGCAAAACATGTATCAAACAGATGGTCATCATCTGGGTTGTACCAGACTACACGGCGCTACAACCCAGGAGACAGCCGTCTTCGGACTTGCCGCCGTGACAACCTCAAATCATATTTCAAATAAACCCTCGACATGGTTTATGTAACAGAAATGCAGACGGGCGCCACGTCTTCATTATGCAAAGAACGAGAAGAAAAAGTGGGCGTGTCCAGAACAGAAGACTGTCCTACCTGTGGTTCTGCCCCTGCGCGCCGTTGTCGCGCTGACATCCGACGATGAATCACTGGACGTGGAGCTGTCTGCACAGTTCCGTCGTCTCAAGACGAAGTGGCGACGAGCTTTGCTCCTCGGCGACAAGCGACGGTCTTTGACTGAGACGTCGGACGCAGAGCGACTTTGCGTACTCGTCGATCGCACACTTGCGTCGAGAGATCGACCCCTCGTCTCTGGACCGCTTCTCTGTGGGATCATCGATCTCAGCCCCTCTCGCAGCGACACGCTTTTCATCAAATCGTCTTTCTGTTTCTGTTCAAAATCTCTGACAGGCCTCTCGGTTATCTTTCTGCTTCTCAAGCGATCACCTTCTCTGTACTCAGCGCAGATGTCACGCTGTTCCCATCCGTTTCTCTGCGTTCGTCGACTTGGCTGAACACCGGTATCATTCCCGTTGTTGTCGACGGGCGTTCCTGGCCGCATGGCTGTGTCGATCAACAGGTCCCCCCTCTCGTCGAGCAAGATGACGGCGGGTGACGAGGCACAGGTCGTCAGTTTCCATTTCCAGCGTCGCGGCTTACGTAAGCTGAGCCTGATCACCGCAAACTCATCATCCTCGCAGGCCAGTGCGTCGCTGCTGACCGTGACACTCGGCCTGGTCTCTTTTGTGCTATCGATACATATCACAGGACACGTGCAAACACAACCACTCGATACATCATTCACGTCTGTGTTCCGATGTCGCGGAACTCGGCGACGTACGTCTTCGTTGATGTTGAACGTTTTCCTCTGAGGCGCGACAGTGCTGCCATTTTCGGTGGCGTCCCGTTCAGTCCTGTACTCGTCTGGGCCCACCTTCGACGCACAAACACCCGGAGTACAAATGCGATCGCACGCGTTTCTCCGCTGCAAAATCCGTGACCCACTGCTCGTCATGGCGCACTTCCGTCGACAACTGAAAGCTTCTTCGCGCATATTTGTATTTATCTTCTCATCAACGTCTTGAAGCAACATTGGTCGTGTTCAAAAATAATCGCTTCGTCTCGTTCGTCCGCGATCTTCCCAGCCACTGAAGCGCTGGGCCTGATGGGACCCCTTCCAACTCGGACCTCGACGTGCAAAAATAGAATGACACCCGAGGCGCTGGGAACCCAAAGCTTCGCCTTGCGTTTTTCTTCTTTCTTTCCCTCTCTGGTAAACATAGACACCCACACAACAACAACAACCTCTGGCCATCGGTTAGAGGAAAACTGAGTCACGTTTGAAGAAATCATTTCCGCGAATTTCTCTATTGGCACATGTTCACGCAAGGAAAATAACACCAAGTTAATTATCCTTAATCTGTTTCACGAGGAAAGTAACACCAAGTTAATTATCCTTAATCTGACTCTTTGCTCAAAGTTACTCCACTATTCCGGTGGCCGGCTCTCAACATAGTAAAACATTTCTGTTGTTTTCTCATTTTAGTCTTACTGTCGACGGTTGGCTAAAACCCAAACAGCGGTGACAATCACTTTTCTGAAAACAAAGTAAAACCACATCCCGAAACGTCGTGAATGTAAAACATAGAACAGCGCTTTGCAAGAATTAGTTTGAAGTCAAGTCAATCCTCGGCAAAATCGACGTACAGTTTCAAGATGTGTTCTTCGCAAATGTTCGTCATTCAGTGGTCCTGGTATCCATTCGCTGACGGTACCAATCTGATCACAAGGTATAAATAAAAAGTCTGTATACGACAACTAATTATTTCTTCTACGTGTTTCGTTGTAGGATCATAATCAAAATTTTTAAATAAAACATTGTTTTATTTTGAGACACAAATGCTCGTTTTGTACTTCAAACAAAGCAAAACTTTCGGACACTTGGTACTGAACATAGAAAAATTCGCGAAAGGAATCTAATTTTAAATCTTCATATCGAACATTTGAAACTGGAGAATGTCAATGGATATGACTGATTTTTGATTTCCTCACTAAACATGTTGCATTCAGCTGCTACGTTAGTCGAAAGTTTAAAAGAAATGATATCCAATGTCTACAACGGCGACAACTATGGTGCACAATTGATCTCCGACATTGCAAACGTATACAGACAGCCTCAAAACATACATAATGTCCTTTCAATACGACAAAACCTTAACCCAGATTTGAGAATAGGTTTCCAAAGTGTGTCCGAAACGATCTACAACATTTTCGAGAATTTACCTACTGAAACGCAAAACCTGTTTGAATACCACACGGTGGATACAAAAATATGTACAAATGATCATCAACGTCAAGAACGTTATAGAAACCTAACATTGGTAATGAACATACCACAAACGAACGGGACAAATTTCAAAGACTTATTGAACTATCAAACACAAACAGATCTGTACCGAATGTCAACAACCCTACGTATATGTGGAACGAAAGAAATTGTTGTTGGCGGACGTTATCTGATTGAGATAAATTTGTAACCACTATTAAACCATATTCTCACACCATGATTGGAAATATTCTACGTTGTGGTTCATAGGTATAATAGAAAGGCTCAGAAAATAAAATGGCGATAAAACTTGCTATTCTGGTTCTAACTTCGTCGCATAGAAATTTGCTCTCCACTCGTGTCACGTTTCCTCCCTTTTCCATTACTGTTTTCAAAAACTGTCATGTGATGACAAATTTTCAAGCCGATATCCGCAGTGAGCAAGTCGGAGAATCAATTAAATTGGAGAGTCTTCGGCCATTTTATCGAAACCTTGTTGACTGTTGCAAGTGGCTCGAGAAATAAACATGACGGAAAGGTCACAGACGATCTCATAATGCGCTTCGTGCACGTAACGTAGGTACAGCAGCCGGGAGCAAACTGTGCGCTTCGCCTACGTCACTGGCTTGTAGGTAGAAGAACAGACGCATACACTATGTAAACCAAAGACATTACGGACATAGGAACTGAGAGAGTACAAAGTACGGCCACTGAGAAATAATGTTTTCAGTATGGACAGTACAGCCTCCTCCCCTCCTCAACCCATACTTCTAACGGACGTCGAACGCACAGGTTAACCCCGATTACTTTACACAGTGGGAAGAATATGAAGGCGGTTAAAGTGACGCGGTATTTTGGCCACTTCATCGTATAACACGTTACTGAAGCTAAGAAGGATACTAATTATTCGTTAAACAATATTCTGCAATAACACGCACAGTATACCATAATCCAAACAGGGCTGCGTCTCTCGAAAAACATAATATTTATATTCGTTCTGCCCTTCGCTTTCTAAGGCCTCACAAACTTCATTCCGTAGTTTAAACCAAAAACAAAAATACGTCTTGCAGAAAAACCAAAGTTTGTGAGTGAAAGCATAAAATAACCCCACACCACCCTAACCCACAATACAATCGTGCCAGTATCGAACCTTTCGTATTTAATAACAGAGCAGTTGAGGTCAATCTTCTGCAACATTTCGTCGAGAATTGGGAAGGAAACTTGGATACAGGCACCTCAAGTCCATTTACAACGTCTGGAAATGAATTACGACAAATCGAATTCACGCCTTCACATTTCATCATAATGATACCACTGTACGCAGTTGGTAAAGGAAAATATATGGGTCTTCTCAGAATCGGCTGAAATCCACATCTCTGGCCCCTGTCTAGGGCGGATTCTAGATTCCGAACATATTTAAAATAACAAAATCTAAGACAGACCGATTATCCTTGTAAAAATTAGTACGTACGAAATATGAAAAGTAGCTTGCCCGGTTATAATTTTTTGTTATTAGTTTCTTTCACAAGACTTAACGAAGAATTTAGTCACATTTTATGTTACAAGGCAACCGTCAGAAACACGTTCACAACAACCTGTCGCCCCCAAAGCAAACAACAAACACTGCAGCAGATATTAACAATCAGTGACTGAATCACACAAATCTTGAAACATTCGAACTTCATTTTATGTTCGCGTGAGTCAGTTAACTCATAACAACGTAGGATTTTTACGATTTAATGCGTTCCTTCGTAACATATATTGAACCAAATATGTAAATACATAACAAATGACGATGGTCAATTAAGTGGTAAAAATGGTTGGTTTAAACACATTTTGTAACAAGTTATAACGGTTATTTGGTAGCCTAGGTTGTTAGTTACTTAGGTGCGTGGATATTTAAAAAATAAGAGCTATTATGCTGTTCATTTATCGTACAATTTTGATAAGGTCTTACAGAAATAAGAAAAAATGCAGTACCAGAGTGTTCAGTTTAATTTAACTTAACTTGAAACAACTGAAACAAGACCTACTGTTAATATTCCGTCAATTTATGATCATCAAACAGTCTACTCACTGGGACCTAGGAATTCCACAGGGGGAGGAATGCGTATTTATTCTGCGTACATGCACGTGCTTTGATGTTTCATAACCATGGACCGTTCCTGGACTGAGCACAAGGACCGAAGCCCATGCGATTGCAGGTAGCGAGTGAGTTAAATCGCGAGAGTAATTACGGACACAATGAAATCTGTGATTCATAGAACATATCGAACTGGCATGCTAATTAGTTTTGCAACTTCCAAGTTATAACTTTTTAAAACTCTTCGATATGAGACAATCGCTAACACTGGATGACGTGAAAAGCAATATGTGAAAAGGAAATTCGCAGTTACCTGTTCAGAAATTTTCATGGATCCGGGATCACCCTGAAGATGAAGGCAGAAAGAACCTCCGAAACGTCAGTAAACTTCTACCAGACTGCACGGCGCTACAACCCAGAAGACAGCCCTCTTCGGACTCACTGCCGTGAGAACCTCAAATCCTACTGACTATTTGACGGACTTGCGTTGAACTGACCAACCAACCAAAAAGCTAACTAAGGGCGGAGTCCTGCGCAAGCGCAAGCATTGCTGGAAATGGCAAACAGAGCCTTATACTAAAAACGGAAATTTTGCTTACGCTAACGGGGATTTTGTCGTAGCGGGAGCCTCGACCATTCAAACCGGGATCTGTTGCTGCTGATGAGAGGTTATCCCGTCAGGCAACTTATCCAAAGAATTTGGTTAGTTGGTTCTCTGAGGTTTGAACCCAGAGAGGGATGGGCCGTTTCGGCTGAAGGCCTCTGCGGCTTGGGACGACGCTGGTTCTAAACTGCATCGTTCATAAACACCGTAGCAGTAACAGGGAGCATGCACGATGAGAGAGAACACGCTGAAGAACACGGTTGCCAGGGTTAGAACCATGGCCGAACCGTAAAGAGTCTTTAACTGCACGAAGATAATGGAAAATAACAACATGGCGACCATGCGTAATGTGTAATGATGATAACAGCACAATAGCAGTAACCTTACAAACGAAATGTACACGCTGTCACGTTTTAAACGTATTTATCAGTAGTACAAGTGGCTTAAAACTACCAGTGTCTGATCATTTCTATGACATGAAGCTCTTCTAGAGCGTCAAGTTAAGCACTCAGCTCCATCCACTGCCGAAACCAGGAATGTGTGGACCTGCATCTCCATTTTCTCACACGTCTTCATGGAGTGGCTTTTAATTAAGCAGCAAGGGTTTTTCGTTGTTTTCCTCAGTACCTTAAATTACGCCACTACCGCTTCCTTCCAAATCCTTTCTAATCCATTATTCGTCCTCTCATTGGACGATATGTAGTCTGAGCTACTGAAAAGCGTCGTTAAATAAACTATAAATAACTATGTAAACCCATAATATTACCTCATAACCCATGAACTTGAAACAATGCCAAGTATGATCACAAGTTATGTTTGCGTAAGACGACAATTTGTGTATTTGCAAACGTTCACTAAAATCGAATTCGCTGAACCGAAACGGAATCATTAACTTAATAAATAGGCCGCTGAGATTCAGCGGGAAATGGTTGAATCGTTTCTTTCTTATGTTCATCTCCGAACCCACTTTCCCTATTTTCCTGTCAGAGGGGAAAATACACCGACAAATAAGAGTCTTACTCCGTGTTACATTACGCGAACCTAAAACACATTTCAGCACAAAAGAAGTGTTTCTCACTCCCCCCTCATTCGTGATTTTATTTTCTCTTTGCACAAACTTTCTGCCATCCACCCTGATAGGTAGGCAGCTAGCTACCCTCTCTTGAGCTCAAGACAGCACGAAAACACGGCTTTATATTATGCAGGTAACAGGGCGACCCGTAAAACAAAACGGGAATCGAAATCATCCGCTGGTAAGTTTCAGGAAACGACATATCTCTGAATGATATCAAGGTATATGGTACTAGGACAATGGCGGTCTTGATTTATAGCGCATAATGAATGGAAATCAGATGGAAGGAAACGGTCATGAACTATTTCGACACGAATCCTGGGGAGACAGAGCAGAACTCGGTCATAAAAGTAGTCTCCTACGTCAACATTGTCACAAATACGAATTAAGATTGTTGACTGCGTTCTTCTGAGTTGTTCTTTCTCCTTAGTGGTTACTGGCACTTCGGAGGAACGAATCGTCACTAATTTTACCAAAATTTCGTTAAAATGGAGTTACGATACATTTATATAGGGTGTTTCTGAAATAAAGAGTACCACTTTAAGGCAGTGTTCTGTTCATAAAAGTAACGAAATAGTTCTGTGTATATATATGTCCTTTGGAATAATGGCCCATTTTACTTTTGAAGAATAATAAAAACTTAAGTGTAGAAACGTCCATAGTATATTGTTTATTTACAGGCGGCTGATTCCAGTTGTACAGATTACTATGTCGATCGTAATAATTACAAAACGATGTTCACAATTTTGTCCTTGAGCTTCCTCAGACATCTCTACGCGTCTAATTAAGGACTGTAGTACTGGATACTGGGAACGACCCGTTCTTCAAGTGCCTGAGCACTGCGGGTCCCAACTTTTCGTTGGCTTGATCCATGGACATTCGGTAGGACTCCTTGGACGAGGGATCGGCCCGTCGCAAGGCCTCTACCTGTACACAGGACAGCACAACACAGACATCCATGGCTTGAGTGGGATTCGAACCCACGGTCCCAGCGACCACGCGGCCACTGCGGACCCCAGGACCGTAGTACACGTTCAGATATTAGAGGCCTAATAAGATTTAACTTGTACCCGTATTATGCCCTCTGTTGTAATTTAGTTATATCATTAACTGCTTCAGCATAACACAATACGTTTATGATGGCCCAATACAATTAACTCTAACGTCTTTAAGTCAGATGAGCTCGCAGGCCATACCTCTAATACGGAGCGTCCAAGCACCGACGCTTATATTAACACAGAACGCGCCATTAAATTTGCATTGCAGAAACACCCTGTACAGAGGTTGGGTGGCAAACGGGAATGGTAAAACAGAAGGTTACCCCGTGCAAGTCCAGGTGGTGTCACAACCCCGAGAAACTCGATCGACCTCTTCACCTACGTCAGATCCTACAATCTTGACTCACACAACGAGGTAAGCGCAGAGATTAAGAAAGAGAATTATATAAGAAAAGAATACGCGAAGTGGATGCATCATATTGTTTGTTATGTCCTTGTTAACTGAACCTGTGATGTTTATTGACATCCAGCAGACGAATGCAATATTTTCCTTACTTGATAAATGCGACTTTGAACTTACAGATCGAGAGGCACGTGCGTTATTTTGTTTGACAGAAAATAAAAATTGCGCCATTTACCCTAGACATGTGAGATCAATGAAAGGCTCTTTGGAGGTTGCGAGTGGGCTGTGGTCCACAGAAACCTGGACACAGCTGAAGCACTACTCAACACAATGAAGGGCTGTACCCGTCGAATGACGTCTTAACGCACCGCTCACGCTGAAAGTAGAAATTTCTCGAATTTGCCTTCTAGGCACACGACGGAAATACAATTTATTCAGCCACTTAAAATATTAATGAGAAATACAGATATCCTTTGAAAAGAACTTTTCTAAAATGTAAACAACAGAAGCGATATTTCGGGATCTTACGGCGTAGAGTGTAATGATGATAGCCTTCTGGAATATTTGCATCGTATATTCTGGTAGAAGTTTACCGACGTTTCAGAGGTGATTGCGGATATATTCATCGCCCTTCTGATGGAAGCAGTGAGCGCCTTCGAAATACCTTAGAACTTCTCGATCACAGGGTGAACTATTCCAGAAGGCGTCATCTTTGAACAAAATTACGTGAAGCTCTGTACCTTTTCTGTTTTGCCGATGCCATCTTGTGATACATTGCTCTGAAACGTCTTCGGACCTGTGTATACTATTTCATTTCGGCAAACCACACCATGCACTGCGCCTTCCCCTAGGGGTTCATGGCGACTGACCCGAATCACAAACACGGATGCAGTGCAGTGGGAAAACAACGGGTGCTACCATCTACAGGGAACGCAGCAAAACTTTCAGGGATTGTTTTCGCAGATGACGCTAGAACAGTGTGCCTGCGTCTTTTCATAAAGGCTTTGTTTACGACTAAAGTTAAAGATAATTTATACCCAACCTATGTAAATAAGACTGTCTGAAGATAATAATTCACACGTAATTTAACGACCAAATTCCCTAGAATAAATTAATGTTACGACGTAAATAGACGGAAAAAAACTGGAGGCGCCGGGTATCGATCCCGGTACCTCTCGCATGCTAAGCGAGCGCTCTACCATCTGAGCTACGCCCCCTGATATACCCAAAACGTTTGTTTCTGGACCACACCTTGCTGGAAACCGCCTGTACCAGTTTAAAAGTTGCACAACTTTCTCTGATCGACTGGACCCATTGCAGCAAAAATAATAACATATCAAGATCAACGCAGAACAAGAATCAGGGGGCGTAGCTCAGATGGTAGAGCGCTCGCTTAGCATGCGAGAGGTACCGGGATCGATACCCGGCGCCTCCAGCTTTTTATTTATCTAATATTCACCAAATTTCTCTAAAATCGCTCATGCTACAGTAATTTGTACGGGCATAAAGAAACAACTGATTAATTTCATAAACTTTATTTGGGAATAGTTTCATATTACGTGCAGAGTGTTTCACAACCGGTCTGTCGTACATCGGAACGGGGGATATTCGGGAGGCAACCTCCAGCAAAAAATGTGAGCACAGTTTCGGTCGTATTCCCAGCCGATGAGGAGTTTTGGCGGTTTCAAAGTCCGCACAGGAAGAACTAAACGAGTTTATTAATCACATTAATTTGTTGCTACGTTTTACGAGATACGTCTCATGTAACTGTTCGTGGTGTCCGCCACGGTTTTGAACGTAAACACTCGCTCGTTCGAAACAACACTTTACTGCCTGTTTAATCATTTCGGGATGTTCTCGTTTCAAGAGCTACTTTATTTAAGATATTAAAATTCGAGATCTGTAACAGATTTTGGGTCTCTTGAAGATATTGGAATGTCACGTCCATTTGATATAAATCGTTTTAAGGCACAGAGACTAGCAAGAAAGGATCTGTCGTGTCATAAACCCCCGATCAATAAAATCAATAAACTCATTGGACGAACAAAGCCTGCAATCACATACACACAAGAGTGCGCAAAAGACTTCATGACAGTGCGAGTGTACGTCATGTACGAACAAGGTTCAGGTTGTATTTGTTTGTTACCACAAAAGGTCAAATCTCCTCAAAAGACTCCTGAGCTCGATTCCCATCGAGGTCTCTGCCAGCGTCTTATAAAAGAAACCGTTCATTGGAATTGCAATTGGTATCACTGCAAATATACAGCAGAACCAGTTTTATCCCGTCAACCAAATTGGTCATAATTTCTGGTTTGTAACAAATAAATCTGTTGTTTAATGGATGAACATTACCTCGCCATTAATCCCATTTAAATGACGTCAGTGCACAGTCTGAACTAAGTCCACGTCGCATCCAACATCTTCCCTTCCAGGCTTAGTCCTATCCATTCCTGGATTCTGCTTAGGTCACTAATTTTGTTGGATCTCATTCGGGCGTTCACTGAAGGGTGTCACGCAACTTTAATGGTATGTTCGTACGCTTAATTACCACTCTGAATAATTGCACCACTCTGTAATACAATTATTCCGCCGAGGACCGCTGGGAGAACATCCATACCGGATGTAAATTCATGGCCGTCCCCCAAATACGTCCACTGAAATGCAGACACTGAACAAACACTGCATTCGAGGAACAGCTTTCGCGTTGCTTTAAATAGTAACAGAAGCGAACAGCGACAATCGAATCCACCCATATGATCGATTGTTCGGTTGGTTTGTTGGATTAAATAAAGCCTTCATTCAACCACTGTGGAAAAATGCAGCAACACCCATCGTTTATTCCGTATTGTGAATATCTTGTTACCAATTTCAACACCTTCTCCAGACCCCAAAACATTAACGTTCGATTTTCGACAAGAATAAATTTTTAAAAGGCAGGAAAATGAAAATACTTTTAAAAATCTGGAGGCGCCGGGTATCGATCCCGGTACCTCTCGCATGCTAAGCGAGCGCTCTACCATCTGAGCTACGCCCCCCTGCAAGAAATAACTTTCCTCTATCTAAAATACAGTGTATAGTAACTGATCTGATTAAATTCCGTCAAGCGGTGAAAGTTGACCTGCTCACGTACGCGTAACGAGTAACAAGGTGGGGCCCAGTGCCTCAAACCTTTAGAACAGACGACCACCTGTTGGCGCCCTGCTCTGGTGACGGTCGCTTCGGGTCTAAATCCAATAATCTAGGTTCATACGTGTGGCTTATGGGTTCTGGTGACTGAGTAAACCAACAGCCAACTGCCTCATACATACATAATACAGTCCAAATAATGCTACAACGAACCTCAACGTGATAGGATCAGTTCCATCTGGTTCACATCCAAAACCCATGAACCTATATCCCTATGGACTAAGAAACCTAACTCCCTACACCAAGCAAGTCCTTCCTGACAAGTACGATCACCTACCAAAGGAATTCCTCGTCTTTTGTGAAAGCAAAATGTTTACAACAGCCCCCCGGTCCCTATTCTAAGCAAGATTTCTGACCTCCCTTGTGCGCTCCACATGCTCGGCCAATCTCATCCTCACTGATTTCATCTCCATGATATTTCGCGAGCGTGCGAACCATGGAAGTCTTTGATGTGCAGAGATTACACCAAATGTTATGCAATATAAAAGTTCGGTGTGGTATTACATGAAGTGTGGTGTTATAAGATGTGACTGTTTTTATGCTCAGTGCTTTATAACGACCCACTGATTTATGAATTGCATGATTTTAACAGACTAATGAATTAATAATATGTTTTCTACACTGATGATGGCCTCATGAGGTCGAAATGTGTTCGGCACAAAGTGTTTTTAACGCGTAAACAGTTTTCATGTATTCATGATTTTATATTTTAAGTAAAATCATAATTTCGTGTATTTTAATATTCGCCTTTTTTTATACCAGACGGGAAAACAATAGTTTTTAAGTCCATGTTGACAAGAATTCCCCAAATTTAGTCTTCTGTTCATTTTGTCCCGATTTAATAAAACCTTCGTTCCCAAATACCTCTGCCGCATTTTCAAAGGATTTATTACTCACTTTTGTCCATGTTCTTACCGTTAAGGACGTCTTCACTGATAAGAAGGACATCGTTATCTCATGCACAAAATTATTTTGTTAATGTAAAGAAGCAAGTAAGATGTTCTGCAATAAAAGCAGCGTTACTGCAGAGACGCGAAGTTTGTAAGCGAAAACTAACCTAACTTTACACTCTTCGGTCTAAGTAATTTCATTATGACTATGAGCTCTATTTGTAAAAAAAAAAGGCGAAATTCTATTTATCGTATTTCGTTACTGTTTATTTCTTTAATTTCCCGTTGACTTTAACGGGCCCCCTTTTCATGTAGCCTATTATTTAATCTCATGGCTGATATAATATTATAATACGTGAACTGTACCCTCCCTAGTCTCAATTAGTTCCCTCTGTGTGGGCGTCTGAGCCCCGGGTAATTGTCACGCGTCACCGGATCCCGACGCGGTAGGTCGAAAGGAACACACCCCAATCCGGGCGAGGGACACTCAAAGGCCACAGGAGTCTACGAGCAGCCGTAAACCAATCTGGAAATCGCAACTAAGAGAAATGTGCATTTCCCTGACGGGAATCGAACGGCTGCAGAGGAACAAAATGTGAACCACGGTACTGTCTCAGCTACCTTTAGTGCCTTTCTAAAGTAATTACTTTAGAAAAACCTCCACCCCGTCGTTAAAATATAAGTACTATTATATGTACAGTTAGTTTTGTGAACACAGTATGTCCGCCCTCTTCATAATAGCCACTGTACTTCAGGGTCACTCACTACATCTATCATTAGACATGTTGGGATTAACGCACGGAACTTCCACATTCGCTCGGAGATAAGAAGGGGAGGGGGCCAAGCTGGCCGGAACACAACACTGCCACTTCCCCGGAGATTTATCGAGCGTAATACAAAACCCGGAGTGCACAGTCGCCCGTGAAATGCGACGTGCGGGCGTTCCGTAGCCACAAATTACGAGAGGAGGAACGGCCTCCGGTCCAGCCAGTAATTCGCGTCTCTCGTTTCCTCCTTCCTTATAGGCCACTGTTCTTAAATCGTTGGCAACGAACCCAATCTGCAAACGGGTTTTGCGTCTCTGAAAGCTCACATTTTGAACGTGTATGAGTCGGGGGCGAAGTTTTGCACCGAACGTCGGGGTATGGTGAACAGAAATGCTGTTTCGCGGAACTGTGGTGAAGGCTTCGAATCTCGGCCCGAATACCAGATATTTTGCTTCGGTTTCTTACTGTTTTCCTCAGACCCTCAAGGCAAATCGTGCAATACGCCAATAGCGCTTCCTTCCATATCCCTTCTATAAATCATTCTGTCACCAAGCGCAATACAACTTATGCAGTTGATAAGCGTCGTTAAATAAAGGAAAACTTACTCCTTCCTGAAATGAAGACACGTCATAAACTGTGACGTAATCACATGCAAAATTTGGAACAGTCGGACTTGAGTTACGAGATTCGCAACATCGCCATGTTTGTAATCGTACATATAAAACCGTCCTTGCATTAGGTTTGTTCATATTTCAGGGTGCGTGATACCAACTTACGCACACTCGATTTCAGTGTTCCGATGACATTCGGTTCCTTGCAACGGAAAAGCTCATCATCGCTGAACGTCAGACGCGAGGTTGCTGAACGTGTCCTGGTTTGAACGGGACACCAGAGAATTAACACTGAGGCCAGAAAGAGGTTTCGAAACGTCCGAGTTTCCCGCTGATAACTTCGATGAGGCCTGATCGACGTAACTTTTAAATCTGAAACAACTCTGCGGTTACGAACGCAGGCGTCGAATCACGTTTGC